AGCATTTTGAACTCTATCTGGTAGAATGCTGGTCTCCATTTTATTTCGTTCTTTTTCTGGATTTTTACTCTGCTCCTTCACTTGGGACATGTTTTTGTTTTTTGTGTTTTGTTTTTTTGTCACTTCGTTTTGGCTGACTGAGTTTTTCCCTATGTATTAGGTAGCTCTGCTATGCCTCTCAATTTTGGTAGAGTGGCCCTATGTGGTAGGTGTCCTGTGGGACCTGGTTACATAGTCTCCCTGTTCGCCTGAGCTGGGTATTCCAGAGGTGTCACTTACATGGGTTGTGTGTGCCCTCCTGTTGTAGGCTATACTTGATTATTTTTGGCATCTCAGTATGTGGGATTGATCTTCAGGCTGACTGGCTGTGAGACCTGACTACAGCAGAGATGTGTTGTGCAGGGAATGGGAATGACCCCACATTGCAGGAGTCACTTTAGCTGGGTTCTGGTGCCAACGAAGTTCACCTTCCAAGGGGATCATTTGTGAAGCTGTTTGGGTGATGCTCTGGTGCAGATCAAGATCAGTTGCCACTTGTGTTCAGCCCAGTGCCAACTGGTAGGAACTACTAAGTGATCTACTGTTGGTAGCTACTGGGCTGGGCTTAGAGGCATTTGGGAGGTGCTGTGATTTGAACTGAGGCTAGCTGCCACTGTGCCAAGCCTGGGACCCTTTGGTGGGCACCACCACGTGAGCTGAGAAGAGCTGCCACTGTTTCAGGCTTATTGCTGCTTACTTGAAGAAACATTCCAAGCCAAGACTGGCAACCACTTATGCCAGGTGTAGGGCCACCTGATGGGTGTTACAATGCAAGTTGAGACTGGTTACTTCTTCTGCTGGGTTTAGAGCCACTAGCAAGAAGTACAGAGAATGCCAAGGCCAGCGGCTGCTTGTTCAAGGTTTGTGGACTGTTGAGAAATTTTAGGAAAGTGCACAACATGAACCTAGGCAGGTTTCTTATGTAGAAAAGCCACCAGAAGAGGTTTGGGCTGGGCACATTAATTGGCTGTGGCAGGGTCTCAGGGAATCGCCAGGCAGGGTAAAGGGTGTTAGCCAGGTTAATGGACAGCACAGATTTGGTGCCTGCCTGCACTGTGCCAGCTGAGTGGGAGGAGAGCTCAACAAAGGAACAATTGCACCTGCCAGTCAAACATGTCCCAAGTGAAAGAGCAGAGTAAAACTCCAGAAAAACAAGAGCTGCCCTGCCCTCCTGTCCTAGCCCAGCAGCTAGTCAATTTAATTCCTCCCTCCCTGTATGTTGCTGGCACTTTTCAGGCTGATGCCCCTGGCTGGAGCCTAGAGTGAGTGAGTTTGTGAGTGAGTGAGTCTATGCTCAGGACCTTTAAGAGGTCCTTTAACAGGGCTCCTAGGTCTCCAGCAGCCCTCTGTCTCACTCAGATGTAATCCCTGCTGGTAATTCCAGATGTTAAGGGGACTCTTCTTCCCAGCATTGGAGTCCTGGGCTTGGGAGCCCTCACTCCTTAGGAGGGGGGCCTGTGTAGCCGAGCTATGCCCCCCAATTCTTAATCACCACACCGTGGGTGGGGGACCAACATGTTTCACAAACCCCCCTGTCTTGGTGTCGCTTCTTTGTGTCTTTAGTTATGCGACTTCTCTTTGGGTAGTCTTTAGGTAATTCTGAATGATGGTTTTTCTACAATTTAGTTGCAATTTGTATGCGTCCATGGGAGGAGGTAAACACAGCTTTTACCCACTTCACCATTTTGACTGGAAGTCTGAGCTCCTCTATTCCTTACCTTCACTTTTATTCAGGAGATAACATTGAGCACCATGGAGAGAGGAGGCTGAGGGAAGGCAGCCTGGCAGTCCCCTTGGGCTAAGGATGTTTTGCCATTGGACTCTTGGGCCAAAAGAAGGCACTAAGTAGGTTTACTAAACTGGAAAACACACCAGACACGGGTTTAGTGAGAAAAGTAGTAAACTGATAGTTAGTCCGTGTACTTACAGCCCTGCTTCTATCATTAAACACTTGGGTAAACTTGAACAAGCCTTGTAATTTCTCAGAACCATAAAGTTTCTGCCTATTAAATAGGGGATATTAATGGATGTTTCTAAAAGTGTCTTCTAGCTCTAAAATTGAACTAAGTGAAAAACAGCATGAGAAATGTTGAAAGTGCTAGATGAATATGGGATATGATGATGATGATGTAAAATTAGGATGATCATACCAGTTTAAAAAATTGCTATGATGACCAAAGGAAAGAGTGGAAAGTACTTGTATGTAGTGGTAGGTAGCTGTGAAGATGGTTATTGTTATAGCTGAGGCTCTAAGCATGCATCTCTTCTGCTGTACCCCTTCTGACTAAAGTGATGTCCCAAAGTGACCACACAAACCCTCAGAACTCATCGAAGTTACACAGGAATATACATGTCTGTGTTTCATCCATTCTTATCCTCCAAAGAACAGCAACAACAGCAGGCATTCTTGTACTGCTTATTTCTCACAAAGTGATTTTCTGTGCATGGTTTCACTGGATTTTCAAAATTAGGCTTTGAGGCAGGTAAAGCAAGTTTTGTTTTCATCCCAGGTGTCAGGCCCTGCCTTGCACCCATGGAGTGGCACTCCAGGGGGTGCTATCCAAGTAGCGTCCTGCAGAGCAGCAATACTGCGGCCTTTCAGAATAGGAAATTGAAGCTCAGAGAAGTTAAATGAGTTGTCTAAGGTCACACAGCAGAGGAGAAAAATGGTCTGATTTTCAAGTCAGGTTAGGGCTCCAAGTATTCTGTGCTTTCTCCTACACAAGGTCACACTGTGTGGCCTTGGCTACAATATATACAGAAAGACTGTGACAGGGTCAAATTCTCAGTGCCAACCTTCCTATCTAATAGTAGGCTCTGGGGTCTCTTGACCTCAGGATCCTAGGAGATCATCGGAGAAAGTGCTCACTGTGCCATAGTGCGATATGGCACATGGTGACGCAGTCTTGATCTAGATGTGCTGTTCTCAGGACATTACTTTGTGGAAAGGAAATGCCTGCACATCCAAGCAAACCAGGCCATGGAGCCAGCGACCTACTCCTCCTCCTCCTCCGTACGATCGGCTTACATGAATATTCAGTAACCAGGACCCCTAAAATTCTACTGGATCTCCCACCTGTGTTGTCATCTTATCACAATCCATGGTCTGTGCCAAAAGCTACATTTCAGTATTAGAGAAAGGCTCAGAGTTTGAGGAAAGTGACAGAAATATTTATTAAAGTGGTGCACTTGGACTCCATGCAAAATGGAAAAGAGACTCCCTCATACTCACTAATCCCCAAACAAAATAACCATCAAGAAATATTAAAACACACATTTTATTAGTTTCATTTAATTTCCTAATTGCTCAAAGTCAGCTTACCCATTTACTGCTGTGTGAAATGCTTAGAGGCAAGGCGCACATTAAAGGGATTATTTCCATGTAATCCCTCCCTCCCAGAGGGTAGGAACTGATCACTTATGAATTCTGATTTACTCTCTGTAACAATATCAAATGGAGGAAATAGTTATTGTAAAATGATAGAGTCAGGAGTGGGGTAATACAGTAGGAGAGTGTAATTTAATAGCAGAGAGAAAGTACCTCATTTTCGGTAAAACTTATGCGAGCCTTTTTCAGGAATAGCTATTAACCAAACTGAATTTAGCCTCCCGTTTTTCTGGCTATACCTCTGTTAATTGATAGATGGTGAAGATGTGTAGCCTGTTAAGATTTTAATCAAATAGGGCCTGGCGTGGATGTGCTCATCTTCCCGGGACTTGGAGATCTGGGGATAGTGATTGCCCTGGGATTTGGCTCTCTGTGACAACCCTCCTACTCGCAGGAAAGGGTGCAGGCATTCAGGTGGAATTCGGAGGCGTGAAGCAAATTGCACAGGAAAGGCGATGAGGTAGGAAGGGGTTTTAGGTAAATATCCACCGAGAAACTGTGACACCCTGAACTGGCAGTTCCTGTGGCACATCATAGCTGGCCCGAGCCCCTGCCACTGCAGAGGACCGGGAAACCCATTAGTGACCCGGGGAAGAGCTTTTTCTTGTTCTGTTGCTGATCCATCTCTTCCTGTCATAGTACCTATAACCCCACTACACTAGTTTAGGAGCATGATTGCTATTCTTGGAAGGAAGGAAGCGCTATAGCATCGGAGGAGTACAGAGGTAAGGCCGATCCTTAGCAGCAATTTCTGGCCCCTTAGCACCGAAATAGGCAGTTTCTCCATTTCAGGCTGAGCCCCCTCTGATATTTCCTATTCATTCTCTACCTTCAGACTCAGCCTGATACAAAGAGTCTACAAAATAAAACATTTTAAAGCCCTCAAGGAGATTTGTACCATGAATTTTATTAGATTGAAGGCAAAACAAGCTGATACCAGCAGAAAAACAAAATGGCTGCTGCAGACCCCAGCTGACCTTTTTGCGTGGAAAATTCTCCATATGATTACAGAGCTAATGAGTAATATTTAATGAAAACATTATGCCTTTGCATATATTTGTAAGCAGCACTTCTTCCATTTAAATTTACATAGAAATAAGCTGATATGTAAAAATACGCATCTTGGGAATCTGTGTGCTTTAAGGAAAACACTCATCTGCTGTCTCTGGCTATTTCTATTCAAAGCTCCAACTTCTCAATAGAAAACTGGAGAATTCAGTCAATCATCCGGCTGACACCCAACATGCGAGCATTTGATGATGCGTGGATGAAACAGCTGAACTCAAGGCAGACTCACCCACATTTCACAGGATGTTTGGGCTTTATGCAAACAACAGTGTTTGAGAAAAAACTCTCCTAAACAATTGCTAAATAAATACATGTGAAAAAAAATCTTTCTCTTTCAATTTCAAGAATCCTTAAGCATTTGAGGATAATGACTTCGAATCAGGATTGTTTCGGGGGGGCCGCGTATCTTTCCTTTTCTGCTCAGACTCTGAATCACAGTGGTCCTGAATATGACATTGAAAGCCTGTGACACCTCTCTTTCCCACTCTTTCTCTTCCCCCTGTAGGTGGAGCTGACAGGCAGCAGCGTCTTTGACTATGTCCACCCCGGGGACCACGTGGAGATGGCAGAGCAGCTGGGCATGAAGCTCCCACCTGGGCGGGGTCTCCTCTCCCAGGGTACCACTGAGGACGGAGCCAGCTCAGCATCTTCCTCCTCCCAGTCAGAGACCCCCGAGCCAGGTGGGAATTGCAATCCCAACGTGTGGGTTGGTGGGCAGGACCTTTGCCAATGATTGCATACAAGTTGCCAGTGTGAAGAGATTATAAATAGGTTTAATGGTATTTAACAATTCCATGCAGCTTTCTGTCCCAGGCAGTAATTAAATAAAGAAGAGATTTGAAAATAAGGAGACATTCTAATAAGTATAATCCAGGGATCTGATTTCAGTTGAACAATAAATATAGAAGGCACTAGTGCCTTCAGTTTCATTGTCAAATTATTGGAGGGAAAGGTTCAGATTTGGAGAGCCCTCTTCCTTTTATTGTTACCGTGGCTAAATGTAATGCATTTATTTATTATTCAGCAAAATCTATAGCAGAGTCTTTTTGAATATTAGCTTACAGAGAATTAAAAGTATGAGGGACTTGCAGAAATCTCAATTTCTTTTTTTGTAAGCATCAGAAGGTACTTGAAAGATGTGAATAGATAAATTAGGGCTAAAAAGAAAACAGAAATGGCTACATTTTAAACAGGCTTTCTACCCTCAGTATTTAATTAGATCAATTGTATAGAGGAATGAACAGAGGTGACATTCCTCATTGGGATTCCTTCCAGGACTCTTATAGACTTTGCATTCAGAATGTTCCCATTTTCATTGTGTTGTACTGATGATAATTTAAGTATTAGGGGAAAATCCATTTATAAATTAAACAAAATGACTTGATATCCATCAGTCCCCTAGTTCATCAAGCTGTTCAAACACGGGGAAGATTGGCTGGTCGGCCTGGGTCTTCCGAGAGCGCTGGTAATTAGATCTGCGAAGGATTTATTCTTTGCTGATTGGGGCTTTAAATTAATTGAAGTTCCACATTTGTGGTTTTGTCCTTTTTGTACTTTTTTAGAGGAGATATTTCATATTCTTGTGTGGTGGAGTGATTGGCCAAGCAGCACTGGTTTAAATGTTAATTTTTCTCATGAGAAGTTTAAGATTTTTAATGAATCAAGGCCTGATTTGAAGTGCAAAGTTTTATTTGCTTATTTAAGAAATTATTTTTGCACTCTAAAGATGCTTGACTTTATTTGATATGCTGTTTTAAAACAGATTCACTACACAAAAGCATTTTTATAGAAATAAAAACGGGGGGGGGGTCTAAAGATTACCACTAAAATAACTCTACATACTTCTAAGGAAGTACTTTAATTTGACCTGCTTATAAATAATCACAGCATGTTTGCTCACACAGAAGGGAAAAAAAACATAGTTGTCGTTTTTTGTAAAATAATTTAATTCCATCTAAAACCAATCCATGTTTCCTCGTTTGGGTCACCTGCAGCTTGTAGGGCAGTATCTGTCCACAAGTGAGCATCCTTCTCCAGTGAGCTCCACGCCTGAGAAAGATAGTAGTTAAGACTGCTCTTTATTACTTACAAATGAAAATTTTGTTGGGGGGTGTGGTCATATATTCTTATAGCATTGCTCACTGACTTTACTGAATAGATGTGTCGGTGAGATCATGGGAACTGCTTTTTCAGTCATTGGGATGTTCACATCTGGGCAGATGGAGAAGCAGCACAAGCACATAGTTGTCTATTCCTTCATGTAGACTGGGACAGGGGAGGCTGGGCTGCTCAGGATAATCACTCAGTGTGTAAGAATTCAAGTTTATAAATCGTCATGTGAACTAAAGCCTGAGCAACGTGGACTTTGTTTCCCTGAATCACAAACTATCAGTTTAAGTAGGATTGTCAACAATTCTTTCATCTGACCTCCAACCTACGGAGCCATCCCTTTATAGCAAAACCAACAGGTAACCTTCCAGTCTCTGCTGGAACTTGCTCCTGATGGGAAGCTAAGTGGGTACTAGGCTACCCACTCCTTCAGGGAGCAGCTCCAATAGAAATTACCCCTAACATGGAGCCGAAGTCTACGTTGCTGTAGCTTCTCCCTCTAATCCAAGGTCTACCCTCTGAGACCACATTTCAGATTTCCTCCTTTCTGCCCATCATAACCTCTCAAATATATGAAATCACTTACCCCAAATGCCCCTTCCTCCTGCCTGCCTTCCTTTCCAGGTCCAACCACCTAATTCCACAGCCATGATGCATGTTCCTAAGACTCTCGCCACCCTAGTCACCCTCCCCTGGCTGTGCTTCAGTTTGCGGTGACCCTAGAAAAATATGAGTATAGGAACTGAGTATGGCCCTTGAGATGTATTCTGATGAGTACAAAGCAGAGGGACTGTGGCCTTTCTCCGTTCGGGCTGCTGTACTTCTGTTAACACCACCTATGGTGGAACTAGGTCTTCTTAGTAGCCCTCTTACACTGCTGCTTCACACCGAGCTTGATGTCTCCACAATCACAAACACGTTAAGGGTGACTGTCACTCGGAAAAGACTTTGATCGGGAGGAAAATATCCACAGCCTGTAAACCAGTTCCGCTAGGATATCCTAAGCTAGAGTCCAAATCACACCGATTTAAGGTTGCATATCGAGCTCGGCTAGACCCGGGCCTTCTCTGAAGCACAGTTGGCAGAAAGCAACTCTAGGTGCATTCAGCCCTCGGTCCTCACCGGGCATCTTTTCATTCTGGGTTTTAGAGTAGCATATCCCCCTTAAGGTTGTGCTGTCATTGAACAGTTGAGGTGTGATTGAGAAGTTACATGGGTTTCTTTCCCCTGCTTCCTTGAGCCAAGCTAACTAGGAAAATCAAAAACTCTGCTTTCTAAGCACACTCTAACAACCTGGGCTCATTAGCGGCAGTCGCGTAAGAAGGTTTCTCTCCCTTGATGGCGAGTGTCTCTCCTGCCATTAGAGAAAGGTAAACGCACTTTGCTTTCAAAGTCTGCAGTGTGGGTTCTTTTCAGTCTTTGGCTTGAAAAGGCAATTAGACTGACTGCTCAAATACTGAGAAGCGGGGTGGGGAGCTCCCTTTAGCTGGATATCCTCACTAATGCAGATCATTGCTCCAAGGGAATTACTTTAAAAGTTCATGTCAGGCACTACATCCCAAAGCTGCTTATGTTTCTTAAAAGCTGGAAGAATTTTAACAAGATTTCCTAATTCCTAATAACGCGGAGGAACATTTTTGAAGAGTGTTCTTCGTTGCATCATAATCTTTTAAACTCTGGTAAAACACAGATTCTTTGTGAAATAATAGTGTAATGTGGTTGGAAAGGGATATCAATATGTGATGATTATGAAAATGAGGGGACTGGTAGGTAGGAAAATTTTCAGAAGCCCTGATGTGTTCACTGTAGCATTACTAAATGACTGAAATCTAAACAACATTTGGCATAATAATAAAAGGAAGCAAGTGACTAAACCGGCCTAAGAGGCATGATACTGTGCTATGATCGGAATTCCTTTTCTTTGAACTGCCAGTCCTTTGATTGTCTTGTCTTCAACCAGCCTCAAGATAATGAGAGAGCCCTAGCTGGTTTGGCTCAGTAGATAGAGCATCAGCCTGCGGACTGAAGGGTCCCAGGTTCGATTCTGATCAAGGGCATATACCTTGGTTGCGGGCACATCCCCAGTGGGGAGTGTGCAGGAGGCAGCTGAATTGATGTTTCTCTCTCATCAATGTTTCTAACTCTCTATCCCTCTCCCTTTCTCTCTGTAAAAAAATCAATAAAATATATATTTTAAAAAAAAGATAATGAGAGAGGGGAAAAAGAATCTGTAGACTGGACAGCAAACCCAGATAAATATTTTATATGTGTGCACATTTCTTAATAGCTTAGTAATATCTTTCTTTTAGGGAACTCTTAAGGCAGGTGTATGAAAAATAAATAGGTGGCCATATTGAAAGTGCAAGGGTTCTGGTATGCCTGTCTGGAGCTGCCCCAGTGCCTTGGGGGAGACTGTTGTGCGCTGTCCCCCAGGCTCCTGCCCCCCGAGGAGCACAGAGCCTCCGGGAGTGATGTCTGTGTGGGTCATTTTCTTTTTGTGGATCTGCGTGACTCTTTTCCTCACTCTTAATGATTCTGTACTCTTGGGATTATGAGTGCTACCCTCTTACTAAATTTCAATGCTGTATCTTTTAAACACTTAATAAGCAGAAAAGCAGCTCTTTTAAGAAATCCTAGAGCAGTGGTTCTCAACCTTCTGGCCCTTTAAATACAGTTCCTCATGTTGTGACCCAACCATAAAATTATTTTTGTTGCTACTTCATAACTGTAATGTTGCTACTGTTATGAATTGTAATGTAAATATCTGATGTGCAGGATGTATTTAGGCGACCCCTGTGAAAGGGTCGTTCGACCGCCTAAGGGGTCGCGACCCACAGGTTGAGAACCGCTGTCCTAGAGGAACTTTGAAAATCTCCCTGTTTTGGCAGCAAAGAGTAATATTCCTCAGGTTCATAACATTGTTGGTTTTACGCCTTCCTCCTTCTTACTAAAACAGGTTGATTTTTCTCCAATTATAAAATTAATTCAACTTGTTGTAAAAAGTCCAGAAATACAGGAAACAAAAAGCAACCAACATGACATGACCCAAAGAACCCCGTGTATGTACTCTATGTCCATCCTTCCAGGTTTGTTTCTGCTCCTATACACATGTACAGTCATGTGGTGGGGTTCCTTTGTTTGCTTAAATAGCATAACATACGAGTACATGCTCTGGTAGCCTGCTTTTTCACTTTCCCTGTCATGTTTCTCACTATAACATAAAATTTCCTCTCTGTCTCCAGTGGTTTGTTTCCCACCAGCTAACAATCAGTTCCCAGCTATAGGACCACTTTCAGGAGTCACGTGCCTGAGTCCTGCTTTGGAGGGAATTCAGTCAGGACGAGAGGTTCTTGCGGCTTATTGAATGGGTGCGAGCTCATAGAGGGAGAAATCAATACTGCACCAGGATTTAGACAATTTAGCAAAATGTATGAGACAGTACTTTTGGTGAAGGATAACTACAGCAACACCATTAACCATTTGCTGTCTAAAAATAGAGGTTAAGTTCCACCCAGATCTAGCTTGTTTGGGGGAGCAAGTGAGGGGGGAGTGAAGATAATCATTGCAGTAG